CCCCGGGCCGGGGGGCCCCGACCGGGTCTCACCAGTTCTGCAGCAGCTGGACATAACGCGGCCCCACAAGCCTACTCAGCATCCCGCTCCGCCGCCCTCAAAGTCACCCCCTCTGCGCACGCGCGCCGCCCAGGGCCCCTACCCGCCGGGGGCTGCCCGCGGCGCTGCCTGAGCAAAACGGCGTTACCGTGGTAACAGCCCTCCCCCCCAGCCTCCCCGGTGGGCGTCACAGCCCGGCGGCGCTGGCCTGGTCCGGTTCGCACGTTGGAACAGGGACTAAGGGACTGGACCCTGTCCCCACAGCAGAGCAGGGGCCTGAGCCCCGAGGGGACTGGCCCTGTCCCTACGCCAGAGCGGGCACCACTTCTCATAGTCAGTGCTGGAGGAAAGTGCCACCTCCCCGTGCGCTTTCCCCAACGCCCATCAGTGTATCTGCAAACTGCCTCCTTGCCACCCCTCCAGCCTCCAAGGAGAGAGAGTTTTGAGCCAGATTTTTTTGAAAAAGGACCCTAAATGCATCCGATAAAGTCCCCAAGACGGCACTCAAAGCCAGCTCAGCCTCTTGCTAATCCACAGGTCCAAGAAAGTCCAGAGGAAGACGTTCGAGCCTGATGCCTTCATATGCCTGAGATCTGGGGCTGGATTGCCAAGGACTCTTGCAAGGCTTCCCCAAGTTAACCTTAAATAAGGGTGTCTGGGAGCGACAGGCTAGCAGCCAGCACGTTCCCTGCACATGATACGAGAGCCAGGATTCACTGAACTGAATCTGTTGCATATTCCCAGCCCCTGTTTTTTTCTCACCCAGATACAGAACAATTATTTTATCAGCTCTTTGTGTGACTGACTCAACGCTGCGTTTTATTGTAATGCTTTGAGTTGCTCTCTGCCTAGATACCAGCGGGGCGACGCAGGTTACTGAACCGCACAGACTTTTGGGTTGGGCTCTGCGAGCTGTTTCCCCACTGCCCACGCGCCAGCTGGTGCAGGAGGAAGTCGGACAGGGAGCTTCACGGCTGGTGTTCCCGCAGGAAACCGGTGCCTCTGCCACAGCCGCCGCGGCATCGCCAATGCGGAGGAGGACAGAGCCCGGTGAACAGGTTCTGCACAGCTCTGAGGAGTTTTAATTGGCTTTTTAGCTTAGCACGCAAGCACAGGAGAGTCACGGCTTTTGCTTCGCATTGAAAGTTTCCTAGATGCCCCAAAAAGCAGAAAAACACCCCACCCCATAACAAATGCAAAATAAAACCCAGAAGGCAATGAAAAACAGCTCCGTGTTTATTACCTTCAGAAAAGCATTGGGGTTTTCAAGGTAGTTTGGGGGGGATTTCCTACTGCATTACCACAGTCTAGGCAGACAGAGAAAAATCCAATACTGCTATCAATTTCCTGGTTAAAAGAAAACAAAAGCTTATCTTTTCAGTAAACCTTGCTGTCATCTACAGTTCAAGCAGGGCACAAAGGAGATGGATGTCTCCTCTGGCCACCATACTGCCATACAGCTCTTGCTCTTTCTCTGGAGTAACTCCTCTTAGCTTTTGAGAGGCCAGCATAGTTCACACTGCGGCAAGGACAGTCTCATGCAGAGCTACACGCTGAAGCTTAACTCCTGCAGGTAAGCTGCCACCGACGGTGACGGCCACTTATTTCTTTTGGTGGCAGAGTTGCCATTTAAGATCCTGAAGCAGAAAAGAACAGCATCAACGGCATCAAGCCTGGTTGTCCAGTGCTGTTTTAGGGATGCTATAACAAAGAGCAAAATGCTGTTCTGGGCTTGAAATAAATTTAACCATTAGAACAAGCAATCTGCAGCTCTTCAGGCCACCAGAGCAAGTGAGGATATCTCTCTTGTGGCCTTGTGCTAAACACAAATCACTGGACCCAGTTTAAAGCAGTGTAGTGGAGTTTTCTGCCCTGAGAGAGTGGACTGGGCTCAGTGATACCTTGCTTTAAGGACCACTCACAGGCATGTCAGGCAGTGCCAGCATGACATGGTGTTTGCCCACAGGATCTGATAGTGTCACTCCTGCTCCTGGCTCGTCTCCGGGGAGAAAAATGGTTCTGGCCATTCACTGAGGGACCTCATGCCCCAGCATCAGCCCTGGACATTGGCGGCCACTGCTTGCTTGCAAGGTCTTTTGGGCAAACCTGTTATTTGCTCTCAGCCACACATGAGCAACTCCTGTGTGTTGCTCCTTGTTCCTGCCTCCTGTCCAGCCTTCCACCCCAGAGCTGCCCTTACCCCTCCTGACCTGCCTGCTTTACCTTCAGCCTGGTGCATCACTGAGCATCTGTCTTCCAAGCTTCAGCCTTGCTCCTAAGCATGCTTTTTTCTCGCGTCTTGACTGGTACAACCTTGGTTTCTTGATCCTCGCCCTTCCTTATCTTGGTGTATGGCTCCTCTCCTCACCCCTGATTGCAGCCTGGCCTGGCCTGGCAGCCCATATATCAGTCATATTTTTCAATATCCAACATATTTGGTGTCTTGAAAGCAGCTTGGTCCATCTGGACCCGGCCTTGCTTTTGGCCCACTCAGGGAAGAAAAGCAAATGGGCCCAGCACAGGCTCTGGACACATGTCAGTGCAACTCCCTGGGCTGAATCAGCCATGGGAGAGCATGCTGGGAACGACTGCCACGAGGTGGGAGCGAAGGCAGAGAGAATGAGGTGAAGCCTATCAGCCCCGAGGAGTAGAGGCAGAATTAAGAGGGCTATCATTCGATTCACTCAGCACGGCTCCCCGGGGAAGAGCAGCACACTGCCTCAAACACAGCTTGCTGACTGCTGCGAAAAGGGCAGCTGGGGCTTAATGAAATTTAACTAATTACTCTAAGAGTCACGACTCAGTGGATTTGAAGTTTTTTTCCTGCCTGGCCCTGTGTGGACAAGCCCCAAGATAGAGCAGCAAGGCCAATGCAGACCACAGAGAAAGGTGGACGTCTTTTGAGCAGCATCTCCTCTTCGAAGCTAGGGCAGCAGGTCAGGGCTTGGGTGCTCTCATTTGCAGCTGCCACAACTTTGCTTTGTCCCCCCCCCCGGCAGTTGCTAATGCAAAGAGCAAGCTAGTGGCAGAGGGCTAAACTGATCACTGAAACCACAAAGGTTAAAGCTATGATGATTTGGGGAAATACTTGTTTTCAGAGGGGCCACACAGTGGGGAGGTCCCCAGGGAAGCAGGAGGGGAGGCAGCTAAGGGCAGGCAGAGCCCAGCCGAGCCAGGCAGAGCAGCGGCAGGTTTGGGGGTGCTGCAGCTTCCGCTGCTCCCTTGGCAGAGGGGGGTGGAGGGAGATCCAACATCGTGCCCAATTTTGCATGTCCTCACACCAAGGAGGAGGCAGGAAGGTCGAACCATCAAGGCTGGGCTATCTCCTAGTACAGCATCCAGCCCGCTCTTGCAGGATTAAGCGCAGGAAGGGTGAACCAACAAGGCTGGGCTATCTCCTAGTACAGCATCCAGTCCGCTCTTGCAGGATTAAGCCCTCGTAAACACTCTGCCAAGTTGTTTCTCCCTGCAACCAGTCTATGCTGGGCTCCAGGATGGATGACAGGGCTGGCTGCATTTAACCTGACTTCCAACTCGCACCTGGCCAGTGTCGACCTACCTGGGTGCTCCCCAGGGCAGGGCAGAGGCAAGGAAGAGAGCACCTGCAGCTCAGCCCCAGCCCCATGACAACCTCCCTCCTTCCAGCCAGGCAGGGGCTGCTTTCCCAGCACAAATTTTCCCAGCAAAATGAGGAAGAGACCTCTGCTATGCATGGAGCCTGGTTACTCAGGCTAAAATACACGCTGCCCTCTGAGAAAAGCACTTACTGCTGGAACAACAGCCCAGAGAAATGGTAGAGAAAGCCATCGGCCACAGCAAAGTCAAGGGAGAAAGATGTGCCACCACCTAAGCAGCTGCCAGGGCTTTTGCAATTGCTGCTGTAGAAGACGCCCAGATCCCATGGTGATGGGCAGGATGAAGAGGATAGCGGTGCCCAGAGCACAGGAAGCGAGAGAGAGAGTGGACAGTGTCTGAAAACCTGTCTTGTCTTGTTTTGTCTTTTTTTTTTTTTTTAGTACAAGGTAAAACCTTTATTACAACTTTTCATTCATAGGTATACAACATCTGAAAGACAGATATGGGGGAAAAAAAGGTAATATTGTTATAAAAGTCACATTTATTGCTACATTACTGTTATATACAGGACAGTTCTCAAAATCTACTTTAAAAAAGTTAGGATTATTTAAAAATTCCAAATAATCCAGCCAGCTGTTTTGACACTTGTATAAAATTATTTAAAAAAATGAAAACAATTCATATCTTGAGGCACTCGGAAACACAATTTTATCCCCCAATTGTGATTCATTTCAAAGAACAATGCATTTCCCCACCCCCAAATACTTTATTTTTATTTTTATTTTTTTTGCTGGGTTAGGCATATATATATATATATTTACTATATATATAGTTCAAAACTATAATGTGTATCTGATTTAAGAACAAGGATTTCAGCCACTTAAGTACATCTGGATTTACAGGTAGGCAGCATAAACATCAAAAGCAAGGACCATTTTTTTAAAGGCCAAAAAAACCCACAAACAAACAAAAAAACCCCCCAAACCTTCTACAGGGTTAAAAATAAACAACTTCCACAGGCATCTCCCCTCTGCTCGCCCCCCCCCCCCATCCTACAAAAATATATAGAAAGAGCAACAAAGTTTTAACGCTTTGTTTCCTAAACTAGCTGGAGTCCTCCGTAGAAAATGTCATTTCCCACAGATCGCAAGATGGAAGTGTGTCCATGGGGGTGACCCTGGGCGGCTTTGCCACATGCCTCTCTCTCTTCTTCCCTCTCCTGACAAATTAAATAGGGATGGCAGAAGAGTGCATCGGGTTCCAGCGGCTCCTTCCCTCCCTGTCAGTCTCAACGTTATGCAGTTAACTCAAAAGCAGGCGGGTTTGAAGTGATTTGGGAAGATCTGGCACTCGGAGCGAGGAGCTGCCACAGCGAGCTCCCGGGGCCCTGGCCACAGGGCTCAGAGATGCTTCGTGGCAAAAGGCTTTGGTGCTCAGGATGCCTCGTTTTAAAGCGTTGTCTCTGCAATCACGCAACCCCTCTTTGCTCTCCCAGTGCCAGCCCCTGCTGTGCCTGCAGCAGCAACATGCCCAGTTTTAAGAGCGCAACAAGGAGTTTTATTCTCCCCTCATTCTAACATGGTGGGTGCTTGGCTGGACCAGGGTCAGTATTGCAAGACCTGAGGAGCAAGAGGCATGCAAGAGCAGAACAGAAATACTGATGCACAGACCCAAGGCAGGGCTACCTCTTGCTCCTGGGGATGGGAACTGAAGGTTTCACAGAAAGGACCCCTGCAGCCAGCAACGCCCTCCTAAGTAGAGACTATCTCCACGTTTGGCTCACGCAAGAGTTTCGCAGACAACACAGAGCAAAGGAAATGCAGCTGCTGGCTTTACAGTTAAGGTCAAATTTCCCTGAAGATCGAACCTCTGCCAAGAGCCCTGAGGGTCACCAAGCCATACCCAAGAGCTGCAGTCAAACGGGCGTCAAGGGCAGCGGGACCAGGAGAGGCAGCTGCACTGTGAGATTGCCCTGCAGCAGAACCTGAAACCTGCTGGACCATCCGCCTCCTAAATGCTCCAACCCCAGCAGATGAGCAGCCCCAGGCAGCTGGCTGCACAGCTTTGCCCCAGTGCAAAGAAATCTGTGCATGAAGGGATGTGAGCTGGACCCTGAGGAGATCAAGGTGCAGGGGAGGAAGAAAAACACGTCTTCAGGCTTGACATGGTTAAAGAAATACCAAGCCAAGCATGGGCTCAAGCATTACAGCCTGCAGAGCAGCAGCGAGGTGGGACCCGTTCAGAGGGTACCTGAGGAGATGGTGCAAGATGAAGGATGCTGGCAGGGAGCAGCTGAGCATCGAACAGAAGGCACAGGAGGGTGAAGCATGCATGGAAGAGCTCTAGGACCAGGTCTTGCCACTGCCAGTTCAGTGTCCAGCTCCTGCAACGTGGATTGGAGGTGGTGCTGCTGCAGTTTCACCCCTCATTCGCCCTTCCTGGCACCAGGACACAGATCTTGAAATGTTTTTGGAACTGCTGGGAAGTGAAGCTGGACCCTGAGAGCAGCAGGGACTCCACAATCATGGACAAGAGCAGAGAGAAGGGGCAGGGATGGGATCTGGAGGGCCATGGGAGAGAGGAGAGAGGGTTGCATAGGATTTAACAGGGCAAACACCTTGTGCAAGCTTGGCACATGGAAAGCACATCTTCCTATTACGGGTGCAGAGCAGGAATGGGGGAAATCCAGTAGCCACAGCTTGTTGCTGGTCAGCCAGCACAGCACCTTGGGGGCTCCTGGCTTGTCCTGGCCCTGCCTACACTGCTGCCTTCCTCCCCTAGATTTTGGGAACTCCAGTATGAGCTTTACTTCACCTCCCCGTTCTCAGCTCCTTCCTAAAACCCCAGGCACCTGCAGTGCTTGCTGAGCCTGGAGCTGGCCTTCTTCACAAGCATGGCATACAGCAGGGCCTGCAAGGGGACCAGGGGCTCCACAGGGACTTAAACTGGCTGCCACCCCATGGGAGCAAAACCTCAGGGATGCAGGGGATAGGGAATGGAGGGATTCCATCACCTTTCTGTCTGCCGAGGTGGGGATACAGTGCATTGCCCAGCACGGGTGCAGGGCCCTAAAGCTCTGCTGGCCGCCCCCATGACCATGCGTGAGACGCAGGGGACCTTTGAGAGAGGCTTATGCATTGAACCTGAAATTGTAGACTCCTGGGGAAATCCCAGCTTGTTTCTGCCCTTCCTGTTCAACCGGGGCTCCTCCGCAGCATTGCTGCTGGGCATGAAGCACAAAACCCTCTAGGAAACCAGCTTGTCACTGCCACACTGACTGGGGGAGAAAAGCTGCTCGTTGAAGTCGCAGCTGGGGAGGTTTCACATCACACTTCTGCATTTCTCAGCTGGGAAGGGCAGAAACCCCTGTCGCAAGGTGGCCACACTGCTGGCCTCAGAGCACAGGGAAGGGGTAGTGCCATCACCCCGCTGCAAGGTGCATGGGGCTGGCATGGATCCATTGCATGTACCACAAGCCATTGGTGGCAGCAGCCACCTCCTGACAGCCTGGTCAGGGATCTCTAGGTATGTGCCTATCTTGATTGCCCTGAATCCTGCAAACCAGCTGCTACGTCCCCAGCTCCCAGGCTCAGTTCAGCCAGGAGTGGGGACATACTTTGTGATCCAGACTTCCCCATCCTGTCCCTCCTGCCAATGCACCACCTTAGGACACCTGAGCAAGCTGTAAAATTGGGGGAGCAGAGAAGCCCTAGGAGATCTTGGCAAAGAGCCGGAGCTGAACTCAAGCCAGGCAGCTGCTTGGCTGTGAATACGTCTGACTGGTGGGTCAGGCAGGGGAGCAAGTGCCAAGCCAGGGGTTAGCTGGAATTCCGCTCCCCGGGGCACGCTGGCAGCGGCTGCGGGGTGGCGAGGAGGAGCAGGCACACTGCTACCATCTCCCATCAGTGCCAAGCGCAGACGATACCAGACTGTAAAGGTGCTGTCTCTGGGAGGCTGCAGCTGTTTTGCTCAGGGGTGAAAGCAGGTGAAGGTGAAGAGAGGGAGAAAGAACTAAAATCTGCAATTTTTACTGTTAACAAACTGGATTCCATACACTCCCCAGCACCTGGCAGCGCACACAGCACTCTGGCATGATGCATGGGGAGACAGGTGGATGCTTGAGAAGGGGAGGAAATATGAGATCCCTTAGGCTAGGGGCAAACTGGAAGCCTCTCTCCTGAGACCTGCTGGCTGCCTGTCCTGGGATACCTCTCCTATGGCCTCTTGTCCCCAAAAGAAACACTCCTTGACGCTGGTTAGGTGAGGGAGATGAGCACCTCAGTGCTGTCTCTGCAGAGGAAAGTCACCTCCGCACCTGAACAACTCCCAGCTCCATCACACATGAACTGTCCCATCGCAGCAGCGAACCAGGGACCAAAAAAACTGTTTAACTAGGATGCAACTCGGCTATGGCAGCCTGGGAAGAAAGACAGCTAGAGAAATGCAGACCAACCAAGCAGTTGCATGCACCTGCATGGACCAAGCCCTCGGAACAACTCCAAACTGTTCCCTCCGACATCATGCCTGCAGAGGTGGCCATGCCTTAAGATCTCCAGGGAAAAGGTCTTCCCTTTCCCCCGATTCCCCACCTGACAGAGAAAGCTTTAGAGGGCTTTGCAGCCCCAAGCGCTATTGGGCACACAGCCCAGGAAAACCTCTGCATGCAAGGCCGAGAAAGGAAGCACAAAACTGAAGGCCAGCTGCGGGGTCCGCTGTGGGTGTCAAACCCATCTGGGACTGAGCGGGACCACCAATGTACCAGGAATATGCAGACAGGCAGAGTGTGGTCTGTGAGGGGTGCAAAAGACAGGCTGCTCTATCTCTATGGGACAGGCAAGAACCACGTTTTCCTTTGGGGTTGGGAGGGGAGTAGGAGAAGTCATTTTGGGGAGAAACTTCATCTGTCAGACTGCACAGATGAATGCCAGCGGAGAGCACAGGGCCATAGCAATCCTCATCCACCACGATAACCCAGCAGCCAACCCTCGCTGGGGAGCGCACAGACCACGGTCAAGAAGACTTCTCCAACCACCAGACCTCAGAGAGTTTCATTACAACAGGTTGCTACACTCATTTTTAGAAAAGCTGCTTTCCCTGGTTGGTTACAAGCGCCACACTGTCTATGAGCCAAATGCACCAGCTGCCCAAAGTCATTTTTCCTTTCTACTCTCTGCAATTGCTCGATAGCAGAGATGCCAACTAGTCTGCAGCAGGACCCGAATGCACAGCAAGCCCAACGGCATTTGAGCACCCAGTGCTGCTGTGCGACATCCAGGCCCAGCAAATGCCTGGCTCCCCACATCACGCTGTCCTGCTGGAAGAACCAAAATCTTCCCCAAACCTTGGCAGTAAGGGTTTATGCTCAAGGACTGATTGCCAGACTTTCATCCAGTGTTATACTCAACGGCTGCCCAGATACATTGGATGAGATTTCACACTTCGCCAAGGAACTTAGCCGCTTTCGCTGTTACCAGGAAAACAACATCTAAATCACCTAAATACAGCTGAAAAATACCATCTCCGCTACAACACCTGGCAGTTTAGGAATGATGGGAAAGGCCTTATCAGGAGTCCTCGTACTTTGCCTACATGCAAAGTATCAGCCAGCATTGAGAGGGCATGAAGGAGTTCAACAAAATTTTGATCAAATCATAAATCTCCTCAAATTTTCAATTTTGCTGGCAGTTTCTGGATTTTCATAGGATTTTTCTTGACTACAATATCTTTTCTTTAAATCCATCTGAACTTGACCGCCTCTTCAAATTCTTGTTGCAGAATCAAAGTGGTAGGGAAGCACTTTTTAACCTTTTTGTATGGTTTCAAGCTTGCCAAGTTTGGGACATTGCTGCATCCTTCCCTGGCCCTCCTGAGAGGAGAACATGGGCCGGGGGCAGAGGAAAGCACAGAACAGCAAAAGCCATCCTGGCCCCAGCATAACCCTGCCGATGGTGCAGGA